CAGGAGGCGGAGGTTGCGGTAAGCCGAGATCGCACCATTGCACTCCAGCCTGGGTAACAAGAGCGAAACTCCGCCTCAAAAACAAACAAACAAACAAACAAAAAAAAAAAAAAAAAAAGAAGTAAATGTAAAGCCTAACTTTAGAAAATGTTAATATGATTACCCAGAATAAAATACTTTGCCACCTTTATAGAAGTCTGGCCATGTAGGAATTTGCATTCTTAAAATTGGCACTGATGCCAGAGGATGGATAGTGAAATTGGTCACATGCATAGGCAGCTACCAAGTCCAGTGTTTAATGGTGCCCAGGGAAGAGGATTGAAGCACATACCAGAGAACTAGCTGTAACTGGGTCAGAGGGAAAGTGTCAGCTGAGACTTAGTTTTAGATAGAAAAATGAGCTTCTTGCCTCTGCATTATTGGCTCATCTCATAAGCTCAAATCAGGGGATCAGAAGCTGGCAGAAGGGACTGACTCATTCTTGTTGATCTGGATGACCTCTGTTTCAAGGTTTTAGCTGTGAGTTAGCTTACATTTTATAAGGTCTCCCGAAGTGAACTATTGTAGTCTTTACTTAATGACAGACTAATTTACAACTATATAATTTTTTTGTTTGTAATTAAAATTTCTTCTGAATTATTAATGGTTTTACCAACATGTTGATAAAGCCTCTCATCTTGCTGTTAAGTATTGTAGTGAGAAAATCAGCTGACCTGGAAACCACAAGGATTGGTTCTAATGAGCCATAAAGGCTTCCTCTCTTCATTTAGCACTAGATTACCAGCTTTAGGCATTTAACCAAGTGAATTAGAGACAGAAGATATTAAAATCTGACCAGTCTATATCAGATGATCAACTCATTTCTAGACTACCCAAGAAAGCAAGTTAAACACTGAAAAAGCCAAAAACAGGGCAAATTGGCATTAGCTTTTAAAATGCCTGCCTTGGTGGATCACGAGGTCGAGAGATCGAGACCATCCTGGTCAACATGGTGAAACCCCGTCTCTACTAAAAATACAAAAAACTAGCTGGGCGTGGTGGCACGTGCCTGTAATCCCAGCTACTTAGGAGGCTGAGGCAGGAGAATTGCCTGAGCCCAGGAGGTGGAGGTTGCGGTGAGCCGAGATCGCGCCATTGCACTCCAGCCTGGGTAACAAGAGCGAAACTCCGTCTCAAAAAAAAAGCTAAAATGCCTGCCTTGAAAAACATGTTATTCTGTGAGGTTTTTTTCTTTTTCTTTAAACTGGTGCAAATTTGATTCAGAAAAATAGCTCAATTGGTTTGTATAGAGCATGGGAGAAAGGATCGTGTGCATAAATGTATGATGATTATGTTCTCCTTAAACCCATCCTTTTCATGCAAAGCTACTGCTTCTTGATGTCCATAACTCAAGGCAGTTGTTTTTGTTGTTTTGTTTTTGTTTTTGTTTTTGCTTGGTGTGGTTTCTGAAATGTGATTATTTAATGCTTGCCAAGATGTTTGGAATAGAGTAACTTTCAACTGGTCAATTGATTGTGACTTTCTTCTTTGTTTTTTGTTTTTAAAATTGCTTTCTGTCAAACCCATCTATAATTCCCCCAGAATATATTTACATGGACTAAGGCCTACCAAAAATAAGGAAAATGTGAGAAACTGCCATAGCCAGGAGGAACCAAAGGGACATGATGACTAAATGTAATGTGGTGTCATGGAGGGCCTGCCTAGAAAAAAGACATTAAGGTAAGACTAAGGAAACCTGAATAAACTATGGGCTCTCATTAATAACAGTGCAACAAATTTATTGTAACAAATGCCCCATACTAATGTAAGATTTGAATAATAGGGAAACTGCACGTGGAGCATATGGGAACTCCACTATCTTCAAAATTTTTCTGTAAATGTAAAACTGTTCTAAAACAATAAAGGCTATTAAAAAAAAAAATTACAGGCTCATGCCTGTAATCCCAAGACTTTGGGAGGCCAAAGCAGGAGGATCACTTGATGGCCGTTCAAACAGCCTGAGCAACATAGTAAGACCTGAACTCAGGAGAGAGAGAGGGAGAGGGAGAGGGAGGACAGGGAGAGGTAGGGGGGAGGGATGGGGGAGGAGAGGGATGGGGAGGAAAGGGAGAGGGAGGAAAGGGAGAGGGAGGAGAGGGAGAGGGAGGAGGGGGAGAGGGAGGAGAGGGAGAGGGAAGAGGGCGAGAGGGAAGAGGGGGAGAGGGAGGAGGGGGAGAGGAAGGAGGGGGAGAGGGAGGAGGGGGAGAGGGAGGAGGGGGGAGAGGGAGGAGGGGGAGAGGGAGGAGGGGGAGAGGAGGAGGGGGAGAGGGAGGAGGGGGAGAGGGAGGAGGGGGAGACGGAGGAGGGGGAGAGGGAGGAGGGGGAGAGGGAGGAGGAGGAGAGGGAGGAGGGGGAGAGGGAGGAGAGAGGAGAGGGAGAGGGAGAGGGAGGAGAGGGGGAGGGGGAGAGGGAGAGGGAGGGGAGGAGAGGAGGAAAAGAAAGAAAAGAAAAAGAAAGAATTAGCCAAGCATGGTGGTGTACACTTGTACTCCCAGCTACTTGGGGGACTGAGGTGGGAGGATCAGCCGAGCCCCAAAAGTCAAGGCTGCAGTGAGTTGTGAATGCTCCACTGCATTCAAGCCTGGGTGACAGAGTGAGATCCTGTCTTAATAAAAAAATATTTTTTAAATTGGCACAGTGGCTCATGCCTGTAATTCCAGCCCTTTGGGAGGCTGAGGCAGGCAGAGGTCAGGAGTTTGAGACCAGCCTGGCCAACATGGTGAAACCTTGTCTCTACTAAAAATGCAAAAATTAGCTGGGGATGGTGGTGGTCACCTGTAATCCCAGCTACTCTGGAGGCTGATGTGGGAGAATTGCTCGAATCCACTAGGTGAAGGTTGCAGTGAGCCAAGATTGCGACTGTGCATTCCAGCCTGGGCGACAGAGTGAGACCTCATCTCAAAAAAAAAAAAAAAAATTAATAAATAAAAATAAATTTTAAAAACCCTGAAAGGCATTACTTGAACATCAGTTGTTATACTCTTTTATGTGATCATCTTTTGTGCCCCCAATGACTTTTTGTTTTTATATCTTCCAGAGAGAGGCCGGAGTCTGTTGTTACACTCACACTGAATTCCCTGGTGGCTGCTTTAACAGTTGGCTTTAGGCTGGCACGGTGGCTCACATCTGTAATCCCAGCACGTTGGGAGGCCGAGGTAGGTGGATTATGTGAGGTCAGGAGTTTGATACCAGCCTGACCAACATGGTGAAACCCTGTCTCTACTAAAAACCCAAAAATTATGGGTGCCTGTAATCCCAGCTACTCAGGAAGCTGTGGTAGGAGAATTGCTTGAACCCAGTAGGTTCACTTTAGTATAGACCAGGCGTCCCCAAACTACAGCCCGCGGGCTGCATGCGGCCCCCTGAGGCCATTTATCTGGCCCCCCCACCGCACTTCAGGAAGGGGCACCTCTTTCACTGGTGGTCAGTGAGAGGAGCACAGTATGTGGCGGTCCTCCAACGGTCTGAGGGACAGTGAACTGGCCCCCTGTGTAAAAAGTTTGGGGATGCCTGGTATAGACACTGGGTTCTCAGTTTTGTTTGACTCTAGTCACTATGATTGCTTCTTTCTAGTCTTACTGTAAAAGAAAAGAATCTGCAAGATGGCCAAATAAATCTCTTAGAAAGACATTGAATATAATATTTAAAAAAATAAATTAAAAAGAGGTGGCCAAATAGGGACAGCTCTGGTGCACAGTTCCCAGTGAGAGCCACAGAAGGCAAGTGATCTCTGCATTTTCAACTGAGGTACCAAGTTCATTTCACTGGTACTGGCTAGACAGTGGGTGCAGCTCAAGGAAGGCAAGCCAAAGCAAGGTGGAGGTGTCACCTCACCCAGGAAGTGCAAGGGGGTGGAGAACTTCCTCTCCTAGCCAAGGGAAGCCATTAGGGACTTTCTGGACACTCTGGCTCAGATATTGCACTTTTCCCACAGTCTTCACAACCTGCAGACCAGGAGATTCCCTTTGTTGCCTGCAACACCAGTGCCCTGGGTTTCCAGCACAAAACTGGGCGGCTGTTTTAGCCGCAGCAATTTTTTTTTTCATTTTTCTCATACCCCAGTGGTGCCTGGAACACCAGCAAGACAGAACCACTTATTCTCCTGAGAAAGGGAGCTGAAGCCAGGGAGCCAAGTGATCTGGCTTGGCGGGTCCCACCGCCACAAAGACCAGCAAGTTAAGATCCACTGGCTTGAAATTCTCAAAGCCATCACAGCAGTCTGAGCTTGACCTGGGATGGTTGAGCTTGATGGGAGAGGGGCATCTTTGCTAAGGTGGTTTTAACCTCACCTGTGTAAACAAAGTCACCATGAAATTTGCACCACAAGACATCTGCAGGCAGTCTGTCACTAGACTCCCTTCTTTCTGGGCAGGGCATCTCTGAAAAAAGGAAGCAGCTTGTCAGGAACTTATAAATAAAGCCCCCACCTTCCTGGGATAGAACACCTGGGAAAAGGGGTGGTTGTGGATTCAGCTTCAGCAGACTTTAACATCCCTGCCTGGCAACTCTGAGGGGAGCAATGAATCTCCCAGCCAGCGCTTGAGCTCCAATAAGGATCAGACTGCCTCAAGTGGCTCCCTGACCCCGTGTATCCTGACTGGGAGACACCTCAGACAAGAGAGTTCTGGCTGGCATCTGGTGGATACCCTTCTGGGACAGAGCTACCAGAGGAAGGAACAGGCAGCAATCTTTGCTGTTCTGCAGCCCTCACAGGTGATTCCCAGGCAAGCAGTGTCTGGAGTGGACCTCCAGCAAACTTCAGCAGAACTGCAGCAGAGAGGCCTGACTGTTAGAAGGAAAACTAACAGAAAGAAATAGTTTTAACATCAACAGAAAGGATGACCACTTAGAGACCCCATCCAGAAGTCACCAATTTCAAAGACCAGAGGTAAATAAATCCACAAAGATGGAAAAAAAAAAAAAAACAGCACAAAATGGGGGATAGCCTGAGTTCTGGGTGCGAGATGGCCGCTGGGAAGAGCAGAGCAAGCAGCTTAAGGTTGCTAAGTCAGAGCCGCGATGTTCCGGATTGAGGGCCTCGTGCCGAAGCTGGACCCAGAGGAGATGAAACAGAAGATGTGCGAGGATGTGATCTCTTCCATACGGAACTTTCTCATCTACATGGCCCTGCTGCGAGTCACTCCATTTATCTTAAAGAAATTGGACAGCGTATGAAGATGGGAGATCACATATGAATGCATGATATGAAGAGCCTGGTTACAGTTTCTGCTCTTCTCTGCAAGTGAATAGGCCCAGAAAGGTGTAAGAGACTCTCTGAATGGACATAAAATTTTTGCTTGTTAAGAACAAGTTCGGGTCTGGTAACTGACCTTCAAAGCTAAAATATAAAACTATTTGGGAAGAAAAAAAAAAACCCCAGCAGAAAATGGCTGAAATCTCCAAAAACCAGAATGCCTCTTCTCCTCCGAGGGATCACAACTCCTCACCAGCAAGGGAACAAAACTGCATGGAGAATGAGTTTGACAAATTGACAGAAGCAGGCTTTAGAAAGTGGGTAATAACAAACTTCTCTGAGCGAAAGGAGCATGTTCTAACCCAATGCAAGGAAGCTAAGAACCTTGAAAAAAGGTTAGATGAAATGCTAATGAGAATAACCAGCATAAAGAAGAACATCAACGACTTGATGGACCTGAAAAACACAGCACGAGAACTTTGTGAAACATACACAACTTTCAACAGCTGAATCAATCAGGCAGAAGAAAGGATGTCAGAGACTGAAAATCTACTCAATGAAATGAAGTGAGATGGCAAGATTAGAGAAAAAAGAGTGAAAAGAAATGAACAAAGCCTCTAAGAAATATGGGATTATGTGAAAAGACCAAATCTATGTTTGATCGCTGTACCTGAAAGTGATGGGGAGAATGAAACCAAGTTGGAAAACACTAGGATATTATCCAGGAGAACTTTCTCAACCTAGCAAGGCAGGACAACATTCAAATAGGAAATACAGAGAACATCAGAAAGATATTCCTTGAGAAGAGCAACCACAAGACACATAATTGTCATATTCACCAGGGTTAAATGAAGGAAAAAATGCTAAGGGCAGCCAGAGAGAAAGGTCGGGTTACCCACAAAGGGAAGCCCATCAGACTCACAGTGGATCTCTTGGCAGAAACCCTAAAAGCCAGCAGAGAATGGGGTCCCATATTCAACATCCTTAAAGAAAAGAACTTTCAACCTAGAATTTCATATCCAGCCAAACTAAGATTCATAAGCGAAGGAGAAATAAAAATTCTTTACAGATAAGCAACTGCTGAGAGATTCTATCTCCACCAGGCCTGACTAACAAGAGGCTCCTGAAGGAAGCAATAAACATGGAAAGGAACAACCAGTACTAGCCACTGCAAAAACATACCAAATTGTAAAGATCATTGACACTATGAAGAAACTACATCAACTAACAGTCACAGGAACCAGCTAGCATCAAAATGGCAACATCAAATTCACACATAACAATATTCACCTTAAATGTAAATGGGCTAAATGCCCCAATCAAAAGACACAGATTGGCAAATTGGTGTGCTGTATTCAGGAGACCCATCTTACCTGCAAAGACATACGTAGGCTCAGAATAAAGGGATGGAGGAAGATTTACCAGGTAAATGGAGAGCAAAAAATAGCAGGGGTGGCAATCCTAGTCTCTGATAAAACAGACTTTAAAGCAACAAAAATCAAAAGAGACAAAGAAGGGCATTACATAATGGTAAAGGGATCAATGTAACAAGAAGAGCTAACTATCCTCAATATATGTGCACCTAATACAAGAGCACCCAGATGCATAAAGCAAGTTCTTAATGACCTACAAAGAGACTTGGACTCCCACACAATAATATGGGAGACTTTAACACTACACTGTCAATATTAGACAAATCAACGAGAAGAAAATTAACAAGGATATCCAGGACTTGAACTCAGATCTGGACCAAGCAGACCTAATAGACATCTACAGAACTCTCAATGCCAAATCCACAGAATATACATTCTTCTTAGCACCATATCACACTTATTCTAAAATTGACCACATAATTAGAAGTAAAACACTCCTCAGCAAATGCAAAAGAACAGAAATCATAACAGTCTCTTGGACCACAGTGCAATCAAATTAGAACTCAGGATTGGGAAACTCACTCAAAACTGTACAACTACATGGAAACTGAACAACCTACTCCTGAATGGCTACTGGGTAAATAATGAAATTAAGACAGAAATAAAGATGTTCTTCAAAACCAACAAGAATGAAGACACAATATACCAGAATCTCTGGGAAACATTTAAAGCAGTGTCTAGAGGGAAATGCATAGCACTAAATGTCCACAAGAGAAAGGAGGAAAGATTTAAAATTGACACCCTAACATCACTATTAAAAGAATGAGAGGAGCAAGATCAAACAAATTCAAAAGCTAGCAGAAGACAAGAAATAAGTAAGATCAGAGCAGAACTCAAGGAGACAGAGACAGAAAAAACACTTCAAAAAAATCAAATCCAGGAGTTGGTTTTTTGAAAAGATCAATAAAATAGACTGCTAGCCAGACTAATAAAGAAGAAAAGAAAGAAGAATCAAATAGATGCAATAAAAAATGATAAAGGGGATATCACCACAGATCTCACAGAAATACAAATTACCATCAGAGATTACTACAAACACCTCTATGCAAATAAATCAGTAAATCTAGAAGAAATGGACAAATTCCTGGAAACTTATATCCTCCCAAGACTAAACCAAGAAGTTGTTGAATCTCTGAATAGACCAATAACAAGGTCTGAAATTGAGGCCCCAAGTAATAGCCTACCAACCAAAAAAAGTCCAGGGCCAGACGGGTTCACAGCCGAATTGAACCAGAGGTACAAAGAGGAGCTGGTACCATTCCTTTTGAAACTATTCCAAACAATACAAAAAGAGGGAATCCTCCCTAACTCATTTTTATGAAACCAACATCATTCTGATACCAAAACCTGACAGAGACACAACCAAAAAAGAAAATTTAAGGTCAATATCCATGATGAAAATTGATGCGAAAATCCTCAATACAATACTGGCAAACCAAATCCAACAGCACATCAAAAAGCTTATCCGTCACAATCAGGTTGGCTTCATCCCTGGGATGCAAGGCTGGTTCAACATACACAAATCTATAAACATAAACTGTCACATAAACAGAACCAAAGACAAAAACCATCTATGATTATCTCAATAGATGCAGAGAAGGCCTTCAACAAAATTCAACAGCCCTTTATGCTAAAAAACTCTCAATAAACTAGGTATCGATGGAATGTATCTCAAAATAATGAGAGTTATTTATGACAAACCCATGGCCAATATCATATTAAATGGGCAAAAACTGGAAGCATTCCCTTTGAAAACAGGCACAAGACAAGGATGCCCTCTCTCACCACTCCTAGTCAACATAATATTGGAAGTTCTGGCCAGGGCAATTGGCAAGAAAAAGAAAGAAAGGGTATTCAATTAGGAAAAGAGAAAGTCAACTTGTCTCTATTTGCAGATGACATGATTGTATATTTAGAAGACTCCATCGCCTCAGCCCAAAATCTCCTTAAACTGATAAGCAACTTCAGCAAAGTCTCAGGATACAAAAATCAATGTGCAAAAATCACAAGCATTCCTATACACCAGTAACAGAGGGTCAAATCATGAGTGAACTCACATTCACAATTGCTACAAAGAGAATAAAATACCTAGGAATACAACTAACAAGGGATGTGAAGGATCTCTTCAACGAGAACTACAAACCACTGCTCAAGGAAGTAAGAGAGGACAAGTACAGATGGAAAAACATTCTGTGCTCATGGTTAGGAAGAATCAATACTGTGAAAATGGCCATACTGCCCAAAGTAATTTATACATTCAGTGCTATCCCCATCAAGCTACCATTGACTTTCTTCACAGAATTGGAAAAGAACACCTTAAACTTTATATGGAACCAAAAAAGAGCCTGCATAGTGTGCAGAAAGCAGAAACTGGACCCCTTCCTGACACCTAACACTAAAATTAACTCCAGATGGATTAAAGACTTAAACATAAGACCTGACACCGTAAAAACCCTAGAAGAAAATCTAGGCAAAACCGTTCAGGACATAGGCATAGGCAAGGACTTCATGACCAAAACACTAAAAGCATTGGCAACAAAAGCCAAAATAGACAAATGGGACCTAATCAAACTCCACAGCTTCTGCACAGCAAAAGAAACAGTCATTAGAGTGAATCAACAACCAACAGAATGGGAAAAAAATTTTGCAATCTACCCATCTGACAAAGGGCTAATATCCAGAATCTACAAATAACTAAAACAGATTTACAAGAAAAAAAAAAAAAGCCCATTCAAAAGTTGGTGAAGGATACGAACAGACATTTTACAAAAGACGACGTATATGATGCCAACAAACATGAAAAAATGCTCATCATCACTGGTCATTAGAGAAATGCAAATCAAAACTACATTGAGATACCACCTCATGCCAGTTAGAATGGTGATCATTAAAAAATCTGGAGACAACAGATGCTGGAGAGGATGTGGACAAACAGGAACACTTTTACACTGTTGGTGGGAGTGTAAACTAGTTGAATCATTGTGGAAGACAGTGTGGCGCTTCCTCAAGGACCTAGAAATAGAAATTCCATTTGACCCAGCAATCCCACTGCTGGGTATATATCCAAAGGATTATAAATCATTCTATTATAAGGACACATGCACACAAATGTTCACTGTGGCACTGTTCACAATAGCAAAGACTTGGAACCAACCCAAATGCCCACCAATGATAGACTGGCAGGGAAAATGTGGCACATATACACCATGGAATACTATGCAGCCATAAAAAACGATGAGTTCGTGCCCTTGATAGGGACATAGATGAACCTGGAAACCATCATTCTCAAACTGACACAAGAACAGAAAATCAAACACTGCATGTTCTCACTCATAGGCTGGTGTTGAACAATGAGAACACATGGACACAGGGAGGGGAGCATCACTCACTGGGATCTATGAGGGGGGAATAAGGGAGGGACAGCAGGGGGGTGGGGAGTTGGGGAGGGATAACATGAGGGAGAAATGCCAGATACAGGTGATGGGGAGGAAGGCAGCAAACCACACTGCCATGTGGGTACCTATGCAACAATCTTACATGTTCTTCATGTGTACCCCAAAACCTAAAATGCAATAAAAAGAAATAAAAAGAAAAACCTAAAAAAAATAGGTTCTTTCTGTATTATCTTTGCTACCTGTAATACATACTTGATACTGACTACATGTGATTAAACAGGATGCAACTTGTCTTTTTTTTTTTTTTTTTTTTTTTTTTTTGAGACGGAGTTTCGCCCTTG